AAGATACCCCCAAAGAGTATAGGTAGAGGTAATTATGTAGGCTCCTATAAGTAGTAGCGCATCTCCCAGAGCCTCCTGAAAGTAGGCCATGGCTGCCTGCTGCCACTGAGATGATGCTTTAGCTCTAGGACTTTATAGGGCGTACTTGGAGGTTCATGGGTAGTTACAAGTAGGGTTGTAAGTAGGGGGAACTAGATATAGTTATAAGCCATATTGGCTAGGGGACTTATAGCCCCACTTATAACTACCCATGAACCTCCAAGTAGGGTTTAAGGGATAGGACTTTAGGCCGTAAGGCTTCTGTGGATTAGAGGCAAGGGCTGTGGGTTTAAGGTTCAAGGTTGAGGGTGCCGAGAATGCTTTGGCTGTTTTCAGGAATCGGGCCTCCTTCAACGATAGCTAAGGGTTGGTTTAGAAGTTCCTAAACGGGTTTTGCGTTGAGGCTCCTACTACGGAGGCTCGGTTTACTTACTTCCCGAACAGGCCGGAGAAATACCTAACGCCAAGCCCTCGGCCCCGATTCCAAGGACATGACACCAGTATATACTTTGGCCTTAAAGTAATCCCTATATAGGTACTTCGGGGCCAAAGTAAATACTACTTGGGTACATGGACCCTTAGGGTGACATAACAGCCAAAGCACCCGGGACCCTCTAGGCTGTGCGGGAAAGCCTTTAGGGTTAAGGGTTCCTCCGTAAGGGTTTAGGGCTTCTTGGCATGTGAGGGGGCCCCCAAACAACTAGTAATCAGGGCACCCCCTAAGCCCTAAACCCCGCGGTGCGGTTGATGATATAAATCCTGCATTTCCCATAATAAGGAATATGCCATAATTTCTGTAGTCTAGGGTCATCAAGGTAATGCAGGTTCCCACATTACCGCCAAATGCCTAAACACCAATCCCAAAACATTAACCCCAAACCCTGAAAGCCTAAAACGCCAATCCCAAAGCCCGAGACCCTAAAACCCTAAACCCAAAGTCGTCAACACGGCGTCCGGCTCTTTGTTTCTCGTGCAGCCTTTGGTAATTAGCAGATCCCTGGTCGATCCATTCGCCCCACCGACTTACTTAGGGTTACCCATAGGCTCCATAATAGTTCCTTTTCGGGATTACCTTATAGGATTCTATATATGAACCCCCAATAGGAACTACTATGGAGCCCTAGGGAAAGTGTATGGGATAAGGACTAACTAGGATGCCCAGTAGCCTAGGAATGAAAAGGGCTCCATTTTTGGGTATTGGGTAACTTTAGAAGGAACCTAGGACTACAAAAAAGGAATACGGGTACTACTGGGCATCCTAGTTAATGATAGAAGCGTTCTGTTTCAACAGGATAGGAACTTAGCACACGTCGCAGGTTACGTTTACATGCGTGTACACCGGGATCATTGAGACCTCCGCCTTAAGGGCTTATGCTTTGGGCAGAGGATCAAGAACCTCAATTCAAGCCAATCCTGCTGAGGCAAGGATATTGCATCTGGGTAAGAAAGACTAGCCAGAACTTACGCACTTCACAAGAGATATTGGAGTCTGTGTATTTGGGTGCGTGCTTGAAGAACAGCTTTGCAAAATGGGTCCCCCCGTACCCCCTGGATGATACAGGGCAGTCCCTGCTTTAGTGCTTGATGTAAACGTTCACTAGGATACCCAGGAACCTAAGAAGAACAAGGCCTCTCTTTTTGGTATTGGGTAACTTTATAAGGAACCTAGGACTACAAAAAGGGAATAAGGGTACTACTGGGCATCCTAGTTCACCTTGAATAAGGAAACCCCAGAGCCATACAGGGACCTGGTAGAGGCCTTGCAACAGGGAATGCCTCAAACATATCTACAGTAAAAACCAGAAAGTTGGAATATGATTATCCTAAACCCTTTATGGTAAATTAGAGGGTATCCTACCCTGAAACCATATTCCGACTTTCTGGAGTTCCCTTTACGCCCTAAGCCCCCAAGGCTAAAACACCAAACCCTGAACCAACTCTCCACACCCTGCACCCGAAAGTAAGCCCCACTTACCAGATCCCGATAGTCTTCGTTCCAGGTGGGAACTGTTGATGATATAAATCCTGCATTGCCTCAAGGCTTAAGGACCCTAGACGATGGGAATTATGGTATATTCCTTATTTTGGGTAGTGCAGGAGTTATACCATCAGCCGCAATAAGGCGTGTCTAACGTGTGCTCCTTTGGGCACGAGGGGCCAATATGCTCGGGGACTGTGGGTTCTCGCTTCAGGGCTTTAGCAATTCAGTGGATACATGAGTAGTTGTCAAAATGAGGGTCCCTTTTTGGAGTACCCTAAATTTTAAATATTCGTTGCCGTATTATAATAGGGATCCAAAAGGGGACCCTAATATTGACAACCACCCACATGTAGCATGGTAGTTTGTGGCCCCCTTGGGTCTGGGACCTAACCCTTAAACCAGAAGGCGTTTGGGCTCTCATATTATGTAGCCCGCCAATCATGAGGGGATGCTTTAGCAGCTTGAGGCTGTCCGAGGTGTATCACCCATTGTTCAGGGATTCCCTGACCTGAAAGTCCCTAACTTGGGCGCATTCGCAATTTTGAGCAGCTGCTTACTCCAGTATAGTTGCATGAAGGAACCTGAAGCACAATTGTTGTCAGCAGTTACAATTCAGTCTTTTCTAAGCCCTAAAAAGCCTTGCAGCCTTATGGAGACCCTTATAATTAGCTGCTTCGCTGCTTCTTCAAGCCCCGGTGTGTCAGAAAGGAAGGGTTCACCGAGAATCCGCAAGAACAAAAGCTTGGATGTGGGAGTGTCCGGAAGTTAGGGGTACCTATTTTGGGGTCCTTATAATAAGACTAGGATCCTACTACTGAGGGTACTATATGAGGATCCCCTATCTTCGGAAACTCCCATGTGGCGAGGCTTCTGTACAGGCTCACCTGTGGAGGCTTTGTGCTGCAGCTTCTGGGCTTCTTTTAAGGCTTTTCGGATGGGTTTAGGGCTTAGGGCAAGACAGTACTCGTCAGAACGGTCTTTATGTCCCATAGGAGGATCCCAATCCTGATACAGAGGGCCGGAAGGTCATGTTCTGAACCCAGCGGAATAGTGACTACTTGGAGGTTCATGGGCAGTAAGAAGTGGGGTTTATAAGTAGGATAACTACAGATCTAGCCTGAATTAGGGGACTATAGCTATCAATGAACCGCAGGTGCTAGCTACTCAGGCCCCTACTGTTAGGGCCGTCATGTGCGGCTCAGTTTCAAGGAGAAGAAGATTAAGGAGCCCAAAGAATAATCTTGGTAGTTCTTCCGGCTTCTACAGTACATGCACCCCTCAACCCTGCGGGTCCTTGAGTCAAAGGCTCAACTAGCTGCCAGGGACCCCTGATTAGGGGTTAAGGTCGCCCCCCCCTCCCCTTCCTCATCTTGCTTGCACATTAACCTATACCCCCCCCTTAGAACCATAACAAAAATGCTGTTGTAACTGTTGTCTGGGGTTTTATATGAACAAAAATAAAAAATCGTAAGGAGACTATAGTAATGCCTTAAGGAAAGGGTGTTTTACGACTCATGCCAATGAGAAAACGGAGCACTGGATGAGAACTGCAGCCTGCAGCCCCTCACTTTGTAGTGGCGATTTAAAGGGAACTCCAGAAAGTTGGAATATGGTTTCAGGGTAGGATACCCTATAATTTACCATAAAGGGCTTAGGATAATCATATTCCAACTTTCTGGCTTTTATTTTAGGGTTTGGGGTTTAGGCCTTTGGCCCAAACTGGCCAGAAGGTAGATATCCTACAGTTGACGGACTGAACCCTGCATTGTCCATATCCGCGTAAACACAATACCTCAAGCCCAACATCTACGCGAAAAAGGCCCTGCAGCGGTACCCAAGGTAATCAGGGGTTCCCAGAGAGCCCAATACTCCCCTTAATTAAGGTTTATGGCTTAAAATATATAGGGCTTCATATGATGATTTAAGCTACATTCCTTAATTTAGGGGTATTAGAACCTCCTAAACCCTAAGCCCATACATCCCTTAAAGATCCCTTAAGGAGCCCGAGGTATTCCTTAATTAAACGGGTGTTGGGCTCTCTGGGTTCGGCCATCAACACTCACCCCAGACATGCAGCCTCAAAGATGCCAGAGTGGAGGCCCGGAGTCTATGGCCGTTGCGAAATGTTGGGGTTCTAACTCAGGGCTTAGGGTTTTGGTTCATTTGATTATAGTTAAGCGCTCTAAATCAGGGTCTAGGGTTGTGGTTGTTTTGAAATGTTAGCTAACCAGTGGTTTTGGGGTTCCCTGTGCTCTTTAGCTCCTTATTCAATAGGGATTATCATCATCCCTGGCTCCTTAGCTCCTCCAATATCAAAGGTTAGTTAGGGGTTCTAAATCAGGGCTTAGGGTTTTAGGGTTTAGGGTTGTTTGATTATCTTTAAGGGCTCTTAAATGAGGGTCCTAATATAAATCAGGGTTTAGGATTTAAGGTTGTTTGATTATATTTAAGGGCTCTTAAATCAGGGTCCTGATATAAATCAGGGTTTAGGGTTTAGGGCTGTTTGAATATATATTTTAGGGCTCTAAATCAGGGTCTTGGGGTATCTTCTGGTTAACAGAACTATTATCCTACACGGACCACATTGACGCACCGAAATAATGGCCGTGCAGTATGGCTCAGGGTGAAGAGCTTGGGGTCTAGGGTTCACGTGAATCTCAAAGCTACCGTTATTTCCATAAGCGAGGGCAGGAACAAGAGCAAGAGCAGCAGCAAAAGGAGGAGCAGGAGCAGGCGCCAAAGCAGGAGGAGGAGGAGCAAGAGCAAGAGACGCAGCAGGAGCGGCAGCAGCAAAAGCCAGATCAGGAGCAAGAGCACCGAAAGTTATTGTAGAGATGAAACCACCCTCCCAACAACAATGCTTTTCGAGTTTCTATCGGTGGGCCGCTTTATGCTAAGGGGCGGTTACTATACAAAGTGCTAAAATTTGGTATATATAGAAATTATACGCCTAGTTAGCGGCCCTGCTTCGGCGAGCTTCTCAGCCGAAGCGGGTGTGGAACGACCTCTCCAGGCTCTGCACGGATTTCCTCACAGAGGCTACGTCGTCCCGCAGATCTTTCACACGATGCCTGGCTTCAGGAATAGGCGTTAGCTGAGGGCTTTAGGGTTTAGGGCTCAGGGTTTACGGTTCGGAGTACCAAGCCCGCAACCAAATATACTATACGAATCCTTGGTACCAGCTTAGGGGTCAGCTCCAACATGATAAGCGCCTCGGCATTGGGTCAAACCTAATGTTTAGTCCGTAGGATTTGCGTGGTAAAGCACTATATATCCTGCAAGGTTTTTTGAAGTTCTTGCGAGGGTTCTGTTGGGTTTCTATGGGGATACAATGCCTGAATCAAATTGCGATTCAGGAAAGGGTCTTTGAAACAGCAAAAAAATGTTTGCGAGGAGCCCTAAAGAACGTCTCCAGGAATATGCAGGCCCTGATGTCAAGCAGATGCAACAGCTCCTGAAGTATACCAGATTGCAACCAGGTACCACGACTCTGCAGGGATCTACAAAGGATAGGGGCTGGACATCTACTGTGTTTTGGCCGAGACAGTGTTACAATGGCAGGATGCCTTTCGGAGTTGCTTCTACTGTTGATGATATAAACCCTGCATTACCTTAAGGACCCTAGACTATGGGAGTTATGGTATATTCCCGATTATGGGCAATGCAGGATTTATATCATCAACCGTATGTCTTGGAAGGCTTAGTGTTACTGCCCGGGTTATATACGGAAGACCGGGTCCAAGCATAGCTGGGCTGCTCTTGGGAGCCCCTTAAACTTTGTAATTAAGAATGACTATACCGCACTGAAAATTCACGTTAAGGGCTGGGAGTTAAATCAGCTTAACCCCATTTCCACGCATTGGAACAAGTCAGTGTGCACTTCGTGGATTTTAATGCTTTTCTCTTTATGCATAGTGCAGTCATGGAAGCCCTAAGCGCCAAATTCCCGATCATCCCAGTGCGTATCGCGCCAACCGCCGGAATCTGCGCGAGAATTTAGCCCGCTTAGAGCCCAATATAGGGATGTTAACAAGTAGACTAGCATAGGGTTTCGTGTTGCTATACTATACTAGTATACCTATGCAGGGACAAAAAGGGGATAGAATACTGCTACCCCCAACGCGGTTTCTAGTAAGCCGGGCCTCATGATTCCCTAAACCTTAAAGCCGGGCCTCATGATTCTGTTGTCCAGATCCATCTTCGCCAGTTGCAGGCCTTTGGCATTGCCCCGCAGCTGCATGCAGCCAACCACAAACTCTTCCAAATCCTGGGCGACTATAGGTGTTTGGGTTTAGGGTTTTTGGGGCTCTCTGCGATACAGCTTCAATCGAAGGGTTTCAGGGATTGGTCAGTCGTACTTGGAGGTTCATGGGTAGTTATAAGTAGGGCTGCAAGTAGGATAACTAGAGTTATAACCCATATTAGGGCACTTATGACCCCACTTATAACTACCCCTGAACCTCCAAGTAAGCTTATCAGGTGTAAATGCGTGCTTATAAACTGCTTCCCACTATCTGGGTGGTCCCGCAGCAAAACCGCACACACACAGACACGCACGCAAGTTCTTACGCAAACAACACTAACATACGGGCCAGAGTGAGTAGAACAAGGTCTTTGGAGCATGTTACATATTATCGCCGGCCTTGCTGTATTCAGGAACTCTACGTAGTTTCAGGGTTCTGGATTTGAGGGATTTCGGTTATTTCTGTGGGGTTTAGGGCTTCAGAGTGTGCGGCTTTAGTTTCAGTGAAGGTTTGGCCTTCTCAGAAGCGAAGAAAATTGAAAACGAAGGGGGCGGATCATAAACCACCCATCTAGTAGGATCCAGCATGACGGCCACCTCACAATAAGGGGCCCGTAATGAACATCAACCTCCAAATGCTTCCTACAACGCTTATAGACCGCTAAAAACATGAAAACACTCATACAACCTTGATAGACCGCTGCAAGACCCTAATAGGCCTCATAAGTTCATATTAAGCAGGCTCTAAAACCTCAAGTGCACGCATACATTCATGTCAAGAAGACCTACAAGACTCGGTTTTGCAAGAGAGCAGAAAATGGTCTTCCAATCCAGACGTGTGCCCTCGTCCCCGTGACACCGAAAACTGCCGATAGAGTATAGGCCAGGCCGCCTTTGATCCCTAAACCCTGAACCCGTTAACGTAGGTGTAAAGCCGCAAAACCCCAAGCTTCGCTCCCTGATCCCTACACCCTATGAACTGAATTTAAACACCATGGGATTCTCAGGTCATTACTGTAGATCTCTGGTTGGTTTAGTCGGATGTACCCGATACATGAACTCTCTTCCGTAGTACGGATTAAAGAAAGGGATCCCAATGCTAAGGCTCTCGAAGAATATGTGGAATCCTTGAAATGACCAGTTGGGTACATGGTTTTACGGTAGAAGGTTTGGAGTTCAAGGGGTCTCATCACTTTGACCTGACGCTGTTGTGTCGTCCGGCTATATTAAGGCACCCATAAAGGCACATAAGCAGAAGCCCAACAAGGTAGGGATATCCATGTAAAATGCTTCTGTCCTTTCCGGGTTCCTCCCTAACCAATACCATCCGACGGGTAACTTTCCAGGGCGACCTTGTGAGCTGATGCGCTGGGCGAAACCCCTAAGACCCGGAACCCCTAACCCCCTGAAACCCTAACGCCCCTAACTCCTAACCTCTGAACCCTAAACCCTAACACCCCTATGCCCCTAAACCCCTAAACCCTAACCCCCTAAACCTACTAAACCCTAACACCAAACCCCTGAACCGTAAGCCCCACCGGCTTCTCCTGCAGAGCGGACAAACTCTTTGCAGAGCGGACAAACTCTTTGCAGCGTGTTGGTTTGCACTTGCCCGAGGACCGTCAGCAAGAAACAGTAGTACATATGCATACACTATGATAGGTATGACGGCGAAAAACCTGCAACACTATACCCATTCCACTCTTGGGAAGTTCTTCTCTGCTTCCCCGGGTGCGCTAAACCCCATAGTAACTCCAATGTTTAGGATACTTACAGGATCATGGGACTTAGTAAGTATGGTTTTATGTACCTTAATTGGGGTTATAAGTAACTATAAATGTAGTTTCACCAGTAATAACCCCAGTTACTAAGTCCCATGATCCTCCAAGTAGAAGCCTTGACAAGCCCCAGTCGGAACACTGCACCGAAAACCAAAACCCAGCAGCGGAACCAAAACTGTAAACCCCAGTCGCTTCACCCTTAGCACTAAACCCTGAGCTCTGAATCCTAAACAATGTCAGCTCAGGGATCAAGGGTGTCGTTGTGGTCTCTATCGATCAGTCGGAAGAGCAGCGAGACATTGTCAGTGGAAATGCCCAATGACTCCAGGGCGACTTTGATCCTGAGGAGGTGTAGGGGGTTAACATAGGGCTCGCAAACCGCCAACCCTAAAACCGGTGTAAAGCACCACAGAACATGTGAACATATTTCTTAACGCCAACAAAACCTACATACTTGTTTGTAGGAAATTCAGGTTAAACAATAAGAACCTAGACAAAACAGGTTTGGGTAGTTTTAGGCCCTAAACCCTAAACATCCCTGAACCCAAAACCCTAAACCCTGAGCCCAAAACCCTAAATTCCTAGACCTAGACTACAGCCAAAACCCTAACCCCACAAAGCTCGCAGAAATGTGGGCGCCAAGCTACTCTGAGCCTCCCGCTGCAGCAGTCTGCAGCTCCTTTTGTCGGGGGTTTTGGGGGTTCAGAAGGCTCCTTCAATTGATCTTCATGGCTCTATAAGGGTTCCATAAGAGCTCCACTTGCAGTAGTTATAGTTGGGCCGTAGGGGCTGCTTGGGGGTTCGGATTTAGAAGGCTCCTTGAAGGGATCTTACAGGGCTCTATAAAGTACGGGCCCCTAATATGGACCCTGAGGCCTTTTTGAGGGAGCGCTAGGGACCCTTAAGAGTCTATATAGGGTATATAGTAGGTATTTCCATACTAGGGGCCCATGGCTTCAACCGTTGATATAAGGGCTCTATAAGGGTTCCATAAGGGCTCCACTTGCAGTAGTTATAGTTGGGCCGTGGGGGCTTAGGGGTCCGGGTTTAGGGCTTTTGGGGCTTCAGGGATTAGCGGTCTGAGTGAGGGATTCGGTGCTTGGGAATCCACCCCAGCCCTGCTTGGAGCTTAGCAAGCAAGGCTGTATGCTTTGCCATCGGGGATATGTGAATAGTTACCTCACTCATAGCCCCACTTGCTGAGCCCCCCAACCCTTCAAGCAAGAAACATCCGAGATCATAAGCTATAAATTAGGTGCGGCCCCCATACAGTAAGAGTCTATAATAGGGCTACTATTAAGGTCCTACTATATCTATATTATGAATAAACATTATTCAACTATTACTGAGCGGGGGCCGCACCTAAGTTATGAACCAAAGGGCCTCAACATGAAACCTCGCATCCAAAACCCTTAAGCCCAGACCTTGTAGTGTACGGCTGTCGGGCTCAACCCTAACACCCAAACCTCTTAGGAAAGCCTACTATAGAGGCCTTACTAGTTGGGACACCAAGATCTGCCATGTTGAAGATCAGGATCAGGGGATGACATGCGTGCAGATACTGCGGGAAGAGGGATTTGGGGTATATTATCCCATATAACTTAAAAAAGGAATTGGCAATTATTAAGGGCGCCCCGGTCCCATATTATCTGAACCCAAATGCTGGCAAGGAAAGAAACCCATGATTCATGAAGACTGTGATGGGGATCCTCATGTAATATGAAGGCCCTGGAAGAAGGGGGCGATGCTAGTGAAGGACCAGTGTACAGCTCAACGGAACTGTATTCCATCATGGTACTCTGAACCCCTTCTGAAGGTCGCAAGATCCTGGCTCAGCCCCAAACACATTCGCGAAACTTCTGAATTAAAGCCTTTTGTGCCGAGATTCCGGTAAGGTGACGCGCTCCGATGCGCCGATCTCCGCAAAGAGCTTCCGGAACTTCGCAACAATCTGATGCCGCTCCTGAAACTTACTTCCCACAGGATGAACAGCTTAAACTTTCAAAGCAGGACTCTATGCCCCCCTTAGAACCATATTAAAATAGCATTTTACTATTCTCTTGGGTTTTATATGAACAAAAATTAAAAAAATAATTCCTAAGGAGACTGAAGGACTACCTTGCAAGATCTCCGAAAGTTAAGAATTCGGGTTTTGGAACACTGAAGGCATGAGGATCGAGGTTTCCAGGACAGTCAGATGCGGATGGTGTAGGGCAGCAGGTTTTGAAGGGCTCAGAGGTCGAGGTTTAAATGATGGAACAGCACTTGCAGGGTCAGGAGACTTATGTAGTAAGTAGTTATTTTATAGAGTTATAAGTACCATAACCCCAATTAGGATCCCTATTAAGGTACTTAGAAGTCTATATAATAACTACTTACTAAGTCCCTCGACCCTCCAAGCAGGGTTGTATAGCTCCGAGGTAGAAGCTTTGGGAATTGGTTGAGCTTATGTAAGGAAGTTGCACGAAGAGACAATGAACACTGTTGTTCGAAAGAACATCCGAGCATCGTGCAAATGCCTGACGACAGCCACATCTTGATCTGCGCTGGCTGTCTCGATTGCAGTATTGCAGAAGTGAGCCGTTAATACGTTCAACACGGCGAACACTGCCTCAGCTGCTTTTCTTTGCCTTGATAGAAACATGAGCTTTTCCCACCCCACACAGAAAACACAACAACGAAGCAACCCTGGCACCAAAACCCTTAGGCACTAAACTGACACACACTACACCCGCCAACCCAAACACCAAGCTACGATCAGGATGAAGACGTAAAGCGAGCAGACCGCAGCGACACTGACATCCCGCAAAGGTCTCATCAGCTCGTCCCACTCCTCTGCTCTTTTGGGAGTTTCCGAAAATTAGGGGTACCTTACTTTGGGGTCCTAATAATAAGGATCCTACTTTTTGGTGTACTACATTAGGGTCCCCTATTTTCGGAAACTCCCATTTGTGTTCGGGTTTGATTCTGAGAGAGCGAGGGTGCGGAGGGTGCTTCTACAGGCTTCTTGCGGCTGCGTAGAGGTGGGCGTTTGTCAGAGTTTGACGGTTTGGGACGGGCATAGGGCCTACAAAAGAAAGGTTGCTTAGATCTTCACGTTGTAACTCTGTTCTTCGTGAACAGGTGATATAGTTACTGCAGACCCCTCGTCTACAAACCAGGACAAGCAGTACTCCAAAGCTCAGATTCAATGCCGCCCGTGATGCCCATGAAAAGGCTGTTCATGCTTTCTGGGACAGTAGACCAATGGCGTTGCAAGTGCTCCGCACAAACAGGGATCGCATTCGGATCTCCTGTCGCTTCCACAGTCTTGTACCTGCAGTCATCTACCACCAGTTGTGTCAGCACAATACCTCATTGGCCCAAAACGCAAGGAAACAAAAGTTGAAACTTTCAGAATCGACTACCTTGTAAGCACCCCCAAAGTTGAAAAGTTGCTTTTACAGCCAATAAGATACTAAAGCTATAGAGCAGGATGAGCAGGAGCACGAGTGTCCAAATCAGCGGCATCACTGTGCTGAAGATGGAAAGCACCAAGGCCTTCAAGGGCGTTCGGTACCGAAAGAAGCGCACGACTCTGACCGAACCTTAGTGCAGTGTTTGGAATACATAACCCTAAGGGTCCATGTACTCATATTAGGGTGCGTTGGGCACGTTTGCCCCGCACTTTGTTGTTGTGACGATGTTGCTGCTATGATCATCATGATGATGTTGACATGATGATGACACATGATGATGACATGATGTTGACATGATGATGATGATGGTGACCTGATGATGGCACCTGATGATGATGATAACATGATGATGGCACATGACGATGATGATGGTGACATGATGATGGCACATGATGATGACCGCTTAGATCATGACATGATGATGACGATATTGCTGCCGATGCTGCTGCGCGCATTGATGGTGATCATGTGTTGATGATGACCGTGATGATGATGATGATGCCTGTTGCTGGCAATGCTGGCCTTAACCTTGTCACCCCATATGTGAAGCCTTGGGCTTCAGAAGCCGTAGGCACTCGAGCCTCTCTAGCAATGGAAGTTGCTGGCGAGCTGGTTCTGCGCTGGAGCAGTCTGATCTGCGATGCGTGGACTGAGCTTAGTCACGACCTCACCGTCAGCGATGCTTGGCTTTTGTCAGTTCCCTGGGTCACTCTGTGAGTCATATGGGCAAAGCATCCTCTGTCAGAACCATAATGACGTCCATTGAAGCCGTACGCCTGACACTCTTTGCTTGGGAGCAGCAGCCAGGATGGACCAAACCCCGCCCCATAAGAAGGCGAGATATGATCCCTCTTCGCCATGGAGCATCCGAAGCGACGCTCTTTCCTTGCAGGCTTTCTCGCCCTTGACAGTCTGCTCAGAGGATGAAGAAGTGGCTGCCGGAGTTTCTTTTGGCCGGAATCCATGTGCAGAAGTCCTCCAGGCTTTGATGCTTCTGTCAGATCGATGCTGTGGTTGCTTACAGAGCCTTCTGTGAAGACAAAGTCTCTCCCGCTGTGGCCTGGACAGACACGTCCTGGCTAGGACTCGCACAGTGACAGCCGTGCACACGCAAAACAAGGTTTCCCTGCCGCGCAATTGCTCGAAGCATTCCCATTTTCAAACTACGAACTCCAAAGTTCGACCTCCTGAATGCACCCTTCCAAACCAGTTGCAGCAATATCATGTTCCAACAGTTTTCCTTGTCGTCATCTGTGTCGTCTCTCTTGTCGAATCCCAAATTCATCGTCCCTGCCAGCGTTTTCCTAGGTTTCTGATACGAGTTATGAAACACAACCATCACCATTCCAGCAACAACATTCTTCAAGCATGGCGTCTGCACAACAAAGTGCGGGGCAAACGTGCCCAACGCGTCCTCATATTAGTATATACATTGGCCTTAGTGTAGTCCCTATTTGGGTACTTTGGGGCCTATGCATCTCTATATGGGCACATGGACCCTTAGGGTAAGCGAAGCCCTACCGTTTATGGCCTATTCAGATCTTAAAGGTCAGGCTTGATCAATACCTGATGGACCTGGGACTCCAAGAATCCCTCGATGAAGGCATACACCGTAAATTACAGTCGGAACCCTACTATGATTTTATGTATCTTCCTTAAAAGCCCTGAATTGCCCCTAAACCCAAACCCCTAAACCCCTTAGCCTCCCAGAGTCCTCAAACCCTAAAACCCCTAAACCCCAAACCCCTAAAACCCCAAAGCCCCTAGACTAATCTACTTAAAGGGTCATGGGACGTAGTAACTAGGGTTATAATTGGAGTAACTATACTTATAATTACTTATAACCCCAATTAGGGTACTTATAACCCTACTTACTAAGTCCCATGATCCTCCAAGTAGGGCTTTTCCCTTAATTAAGGAATATTCCTTAGATTATAGTATGATCCCTTATATGATTTAAGGAATACTCCTTAATTAAGGGATCTTGGAGTCTCTGGGAGGGCTTTTGGAGATCCTGGGTTCACGAAGCGCGCTAAGGACCGAACGCAGTGCATGGGCCACGCGGAGGATGTGAGTCATCCGCACTGACCGGGCATAGAGCGACGCCGCGGTGATCTCCGCCCAGAAGCTGACCTTAGGTGTTTTCAGTTATTTACATATATATATATATACACACACGCATCATAAGCAACAAATACAGAGTGTATCGTCTATATATAATAGCATAAGACGATTTGTTTTACAATCATAGTAGAGTATCCCCTTGTATAGGAACTTGGCCTCACTCCAAGTTCTAAACATTCTTTGTGGGGTCATGTGGGTCTTTTGCTCTAGTCTCCTTTCTAGCTCCTTGTTGGGTTGCCGTATAGGATGTTATATATAGACTTGGTTAATCAAAAAGGAACTACAACGCTTGGAAGTGCGGCTGTCTCCAGGAACCACCCAAGAGCCTAGTTAACTTCCTTGCAAAACCCCATACCGCCATATAATTTAATATATGCAACCTCAGAAAAGATGCCCTATGAAATGGTCCAGGTTTGCGAGCTCACTAAGAGGCCTACACTGTGGGCCTACACCCTTATAGATCCTGGATAAAGCCTTTTAGACCCTTTGACAGGCACCTGCAGAATCCTATACGTAGCCCCTAAAGATTGACACAAGTATATACACACCCAACCAAAAACCCCAAAAGTCCCAAGCCCGAAAACCCGGAACAAACCCAACAGAAGACGCGCAAAACGCCTCAGCGAACCCCCAAAGTCTCTGAAAGTTATCATGAAACCCTAAACCCTAAACCCATGAAACCCAAAGCCCTGAACCCTCGACCCGAGGTCTGAACCTTATTTTCAAATCCTGAACCTCTTCCCTGAACCCTAATTTACTGCACCCTAAACCCTCAACCGCAAACTCTGAGCAAAGGTTTTTTTGTAGGGCCCCTATAAACTGCATATTAGAGTTCACAATAAGAACCTACAAAAAGTAGAGTTTGGTTGGTTAAAGTAAACTACAAGGGGAATTCCGAAAGTTAGGGGTACCTCATTTGGGGTCCTTCTAGTAAGGATCCTACTATTTAGGGTACTATAGTAGCGTCCCCTGTTTTCGGAAACTCCCGTAAGAGGCTGAGAGGCTGCCAGATCGACTGAGCCAAGGCTGACCACCACACAGTCGAAGCGGTTCCAAGTGGCGAGCTCTCCCCACCTTGGCGTTTACAAGGTCAGAGTCTATTATTATTATTATTGTTATTATGTATTATTATATTATTATTATTATATATTTATTATTATTACCTAGTATTCATAGATTAGCAACTATACTATACAGGATTCTTCAATGAATGTTTGCGGCCCAAAGCATCTGTTGTATGGGTTTTACTATGTGCGCTTTGGAGGGCATTTTGAGTCTGTAATTTTGGGGCTCTGCTGGGTGAGTGGTTGTGTTTATTGACGGGACTTTCGTAGCTTTTGCGGAGTGTTTGCAGGCTTTCGTTTAGTTTAATGAAGCTCCTTTTTATGAGGCTTGGTAAGATTCGCATGGGGATAGGGTTTTATCGTGGCCTGTATCGGTTTGGGGCTCATTTTGTGCACGGATTCGTGGGGATACAGGGTTCTGCAAGGGCTCTACGGGTTTAGGATTCATATGAAGACCAACTATCATTCTGCTTGCTGTGGGTCTACCCCATATGCGTTTTTGGAGCCGGTTGGGTTCTGCGTGTCAATCAGGGTATCCATTCTACTCGGGCTTAGGGTGCTACAGAGTTCTTATACAGAAGGCTTTCTGCGTGCCTAAGGATTCTTGCACAACTTGTGGCGGGATATACTAGTTATCACTTGGAGGCTCATGGGTAGTTGTAAGTAGGGTTGTGAGTAGGACAACTATGGTTATAACCCATATTAGGGGACGTATAACCCCAAATATAGCTACCCATGAACCTCCAAGCAGACGTGTTAAAACTCAGGGACTGAAATTACATTTCTGTCGCTCATGGCTCAGGGTATGGGGCTCTCAAGCTAACTTTTGGCATGGCCGCCAGAAATCGTGACAGCCCAAGGCTAGGATTCGCAGTCCGATCTCCAGCAGGAAGAAGGCCATGAAACCAGCATTTGCATACCTTAGGGCCGCAAGAAAGCACACAAGCAAAAATTGAGGATAGGGATCTCCCATATAAATCCCCTTCTATTGAAGCCCAATAAGGTAGGGATATCCCCATAAAATGCTTACGCTTATGTGGGAGTTTCCGAAAATAGGGGTACCTTATTTTGGTTCCTTCTAATAAGGACCCTACTATTTAGGGTACTATGTTCTTAGTGTCCCCTATTTTCAGAATGTGCTTGTGGGGTCTCTGATTACCTGGGGGGACTCCGGGTTGCATACGTTCGGGGGTTTGAGTTATACCGTACTATATGGGCCTTAAGAATTAGAACAGGGTTCCTTTATTGCAGCTTATAAGGGCTACTTCAAGGGATCTACAAGGGTACGATCGTACAAGGGCCTTAATAATAGATAGAACGGGGTCTCGGGGCCCATTAAACTATAATCATAATTGATAAGGACCCCCCCCCCCCAAACAACAAAAACAACAAAGAAACATAGTATTGGTAACTGCTTAAGCCCCTATATTATAAACTTTCTGCAGCTGGCTAGGGATGACGAGGAATAGTGACTCAGCTCCTGATGTACTGTGCTGTAGTGGTAATGGCTGGTATTTGCCGCCCAGAAGCTGCGGGCTCCCTGGTATCTACACAAGAAACCGAAGCCTTGCAATAGCCGCCCTAAGCCCGACAACGCCCGAGATGCAAGAATTCTGGGGGCACATCTTCTTGGCCCAGACTTGCGCTGACACTCACCTTCCAAGTCCAGACGTAAAAGAGCTTCGGATTCTGGCCTACCTATCATTGCACCCTTAAGCCCTAAACTTCAACAACCTGAGCTTCTTTATCCCTTTCCATCCTGTACCCTAAAACCTGACTACCTCGACGCCCAAGATGATGACGTTGATGAAGATCAGGACGACCATGATGCAACCTTCGGCTCCGCCCAAAAGCAGTTGAAACTTTAGGGCTTGGGTATGCAGCTACGTCGCATTATACTATAAGTTTTATGTCTATGTATATGATGTGAGTCGTTCAAGCGACTATAAGTAGGTTAATTTAGGGCTTTGGGTCCGTAGCTCAGGGTCTTAGGGTTTAGGGTAATTCAGGGTCTTGCTGGGAGGTTCATGGGGAGTTATAAGTGCGCTTATAAGTCCCCTAATATTGGTTATAACTATACCTATCCTACTTGTAACCCTACTTGTAACTACCCATGAACCTCCAAGTGGGTTCAGGCTTTAGGCTTGAAGGTACATTCCGGCATGAAAGGCTTTTGGGTGTTCTGCGTCTAAGGGAGTACACTGCAGGTTCATGGTACAACACACGGCCTAAGTATACGTGTGCTGACAGCACACTTCATGGTAGGCATTAGGTCTCTGGTTCTTATAATGTAATAGTCAGGACTTGGAGGTTCACGGTATGGTTTCAAGGTTTCATAGGGCTGTGAAACGAGTGTGCTATATACGACTTTTGGTCCACTCATGACGAGGGTCTTAGAATACTTACAACCTGCCCCGCACCTGCCAATAGCCCCAGAAGAAAAGCTCGGATTTCACAGGAAAGCTTGCAGAAGGGTTCAATCCCCACCACCCAATACTGGAACATAAGGCTATCCTAAACTTTAAACCCTTAAACCCTTATATAACCCTTAAACCCTTAACCTTTAAACCCTAAACACAAAAGACTCTGAATCCTTCTGGTGAGCCAAGCAGCTGAACGCGCTGGACAAGACAACATCCTTGAGGCAACCTGCATGCTTTTTCAGTCCCTCAAGTCTACACCACTTGGAGGTTCATGGGTAGGCATAAGCGGGGCCCCAAACCTTCAAGCCCCAGACCCTAGGCCTTAAACCCCAAGCCCTCAACCCACCTTGCCCGCTTTCGGAGGTCCAGCCAGAACTGAGGTTCTTCTCCTCGTAGGCTTTGAAGATCTGCTGCAGTCGGCTGACCCGCACAGTACCCGACGTCTGTGGGCTGATCGGATCTATCTGATCCTCCTCGGCCTGTTTAGAGTAAAGTCGCATTTTTTTGGTGAAAAACTTGCTAGTATAAGGGATCTATACTAGGGTTGCATAATATAGGGGCCTCAGTGATTAGCAATACTATTTTGGGGGTACCTTGTTATGCTTATGCCCTCTCGGCTCTTGACTCTGCGGTTCAGTTGGAGGGGCTCTTCGAAGAACCTTGAGTGGAAGCCCAATACTCATGCCCTAGCCCTAAAACCCTTAGCCTTTAACTCTTACGCCCGGAGCCACTTTGCCAGCAAGCCAAAGCCCCAACCACAAAACCCTTCAACCCGTAAACCTGAAGCCTAAAACCCAAAGCCTCAAACCCTCTTAACCCCAAAACCAAAACTTTTAACCACAAAACCCCTCAACCCCCAAACCCCAAACCTAAAATCCAAATCCTCAGAACCAGAAACCTAAACCCTAAAACCCTAAGCCTTAAAACCCTAAAACCCTAAACCCTAAAACCCTAAAACCCTAAACCCATCAAACCCAGCTTTCAGCTTACAGCTGCCTCTTCGGTATTGGTGATGTGGGTACCTGGGCTTTCAAGTAACCAGGGAGCAAAAAGTAGAAACTTCTATTTCATAAGCGTTCCTTTAAGAAAAAAGTATTTCATAAGGGTTCCTTTAAGGAAAAAGTATTTCATAAGGGTTCCTGTAAGAAAAAAGGTATTTCATAAAGGCTCCTTTAAGATAAAAAAATTCATAAGCGTTCCTTTAAGAGAAAAAGGTATTAAAGTATGGTACTCCAAAGCCCAGGTACATGGATTCGAATCCTCAGAGTCTCAGTTCTGAGGCAGACTGAGACTTTAGGTTTCTGCGCAGTAGAAGAGGGTTTCGGGATGTATATATATATATATATATATATAAATATATATATATATATAAATATATATATATATATATAAATATATATATATATATATATACAGTCTTACAGTTTTTTGTTCATGTAAGTTCTCTTCTATCGAACTGTTTAGGAACTAACACATGAAAAAACCTTACTGCTGGCTGCAGGCTCAAGACACCGAGATGTTGTCTCGGCTTGAGGATTTATTATTGCAAACTCAAGCAAACGAGTATGATATTGCATAGAGGCTTAGACTAAAACGAACCTAAATGAAACCCTAGACGCTAGAACCTACAGCCTAAACCCTCAACTGTACATAGCGTTTGCAAGCGTCCTTCGTTGGTACCCGGGCATCTGGAACGAAGCCGAGAGGGGGACGAGGGACTGCAGAACAGCGCTCCTGTACCTTTGTCTAGAGTTCCCTTGAGGGTACAGTTTATAGGGTTGGGTGTTTAGGGTCATGGTGTAGAGTTCCTTTCGGGCCTGCTAGAAGGATTCATAAAAGTTGTTCTTGTAAGGGATAAGTGTTTTGGGATGTTTTGGGTTTAGGGTTTACGGGGTAAGGGTTTGAGGGTCTAGTTCAGGTCTTGGGTGTAGAATTCGGTCAGTTGGTGGTTCTGCTCTCATTTTCGAGTGGAGGTCGTTCGTAGCATTGGGCCCAAAACGGGGCCCTACGTAGTGTCAAGACAGAAACATGGGGTCTCTCTCCTTCCCTTCGGGTGTCTTAGGGTAGCAAAGGGTTTAGGGTTTAGGGTGCAGGGTAGTGCAGTATGAATATTCAGCAGAAACCTCATTTGTAATGGCAAGAAGAATGTTGCCACCGCCCATACTTACTCCCATCCGCCCTCTCTGAAGTAACCACTCCCAAACTCAAAACAAAAACTACATGAATTCCCTATCGAAAAAACCTAAGGCCCTACGCAAATCCATAAACTCCAAGGTGCACTCTGATTCCGCAGAAGTTCGAACTCCCTCTCCAAGTAGCTTCGAAGACTCTTCAGTTCCCGACCAATCTGCTGCACATCCCACAACCTCGTTGCTTTTGTTGAGCTTAGGGTTTGGGGTTGTAGACAAAGCCCCCAAAGCCCCAAAACCCTCCAACCCTGAAACCCCGACCCTAAACCATAAACCCTACACCCCAAAAACCATAAACCCTAAACCCTAGACCCTAAACCCTCAACCCTTAAACCATAAACCCTAAACCCTCAACCCTGAACCCTACTACTAAAACCATAAACCCTAAACCCTCCAACCCTGAACCCTTACACCATAAACCCTAACCCTCAACCCTGAACCCTCAAACCTCCAAGCCAAGCCCTTCGGACTCACTAAAATCCTAAGATCTCTTTTCAGGCCTAACAGACAAGCTTATACTACTTGGAGGTGTTTTCAGTTGGGTTCTAAGCCCCCTGATAAGGGTTATAAGTATAGTTATCCTACTTATAACCCTACTTATAAGTGCCCATGAACCTCCAGGTACCCTTATAGTAACCCGTGTAGTGACCCTTAAAGGAACCCGTTGAAGGGAGCCGAGGCCCTTAAGAAGTTTTCGACAAGGGGTTCAGGAGATACCTGGACCCTCTAAGCCCCACCATTCTAAGGATTTATATATAAGCAGTGTCACATAGGGGAACCCTAGAAAGGTAGCTTATTTGAGGTTCAGATGGGTGTTGACAGGATCTTGGCTTTACGAACTTTCCAGAAAACCCCAAACGATCTCAGTTTAGCGTGCTCAAGGTATTTTGATTTCGGGTTTAGGGTGAAGGAAGGCGGAACATACCTCAAGCCTTAGTAGGACACCGAATACGACTTAATGTGCATTTTACTTTTTTGTTGCTGGCTTGGGGGTTACCATGGAGATGAGGGTTTCAAGATCTCAGGTACCCTTGCTATGGATTGCGGAGGGTTGCGGTATCAGGTTTATAGGGTTTGGAGGCTTTGTTTTTGCGGGTTCCATCATACCTGTTGGGGCTGGACTTGCGGGGTTGGGGTTCATGCTTGAGCGGCCCGTGTTGCAGCGTGAAGGTAAGGGATTCATTCAAGGCACTTTGGGCTCCAGGATCGACGGAATAAGATTTCTGGCCACCAGCCATGGTGCAGGTTCTTGGGGTTTAGGGTTCAGGGTATACACAACCAGGAACTACTCTTCACAAGTTCTAAACTCCAATTCCCTCAAGCCCTAACTTCTTCGCTGCAGCCAGCTTCAAACTGCCATGGCCTCTGTTGTCATAGAGCTTCCCACACTTGCCGTGAACTTATGCATCTCGATTTACGTTAAGAAGTGTACTTAATGCCTCTAGTATCAAGAGGGGCCTGAATAGTCGGACCGGGTTATGCGTGACTGCGGATGGACAAAATCCTGCATTACCCATTATAAGGAATGTACCATAGTTCCCAGAGTTTAGGGTCCTTAGGGTCATGCAGGATTTTGTCCATCAACAGGATGTTTGCCCTGTAACCGGATGAGGGAATGCTCTGGAAAAGCATCTAAATCTGTGCAGGCCTAGATATTTGCTCCAGGTAAAGGGGCGTTGTAAATTAAAATACGGTTCTAGGTTGCTTAATACTGTAACTAACTAATAAGGCCCCCTGAGGAATCACGCTGGCAATGTTCTTTAGGCTTCTACATTAGTACAATCCCAAGCAGCTCTTCTTCAGAGATCCCTAAAACCTAAACCCTAAACCCCTCAAAACCCCAAAACCCCGTAAACCCTAAACCCAGTGCCAAGCAGCTCTTCTTCAGAGATCCCGAAACCCTAAACCCCTAAAACCCTAAACCCCCCAAAACCCTAAACCCCTAAACCCAGTGCCAAGCAGCTCTTCTTCAGAGATGGGTGGCTGGTTGCAATCCAGCCAGAAGTCGAAGGCACCCATGGCGAACCAAGCCCCCCCGCCGTCACGGATCCCCAACCACGGAACACTTGGGTAGTTGTCAATATTAGGGTCCATTCTTGGGTACCTTAAATGTTAAGTGCCGTGCTATACTAGGGACCCCAAACGGGACCATAATTTTGATAACCACCCACTTGTTTGGTGCTTCTGCTTCGAAAGTAGGGCGCTGGAACCCTAAACCCTCGACGCCGTCGACCCTAATACGTGAACCTTCAAACCTTAAACACTTGCCATTCTTGGAGGGGTATAGGGTCCGTCTTGGCTCATTGATGGGTTTAGGGGACGAGCTGGCTGCAGGTTCGCCCAACGAGCTCAAGGAATGTGCTCGAGCCGTGCGAAGCCAGGGAAACCATGAACAGAGCTCTGGTTTAGTGATTACAGTTTACGATTTGAGTTTACACTTTGAGGCTTAAGGCCATCTCAGCACTTCGGCAACGGAAGTTTCATTCATGGCCTCTACCTGTGGTTGCGGCGCACTTCAAACGTACAACTACTACTTGGCTACTACCTTCTTGACAACTATGAAGATAGGCTACTTCTTATAAGGGGGGGTCCTCCCCCCATTTCCAGTTCACCACAGGCAACCCAGGGCCTAGGTGTTTAGGGTTGGACCCTTAGCCTTACCCTAAGGGTGCAAGTACCTAATAGTCATAAACTCTCCCACATATTTCAACCTACATAATACGAACCTGCAAAACTACTGTCCTGAAACCAGGTGCCTTATCATCGGGTCCTTCGGACCCTTAGGGCTACCTAAAGCTTTAGCCTTAAGCCGCTTCAAGCCGCCAACTCTTAAGACCATCGCTACTCTCATGTTCAGTACCTGGGTTCAGTACCTGGGTTTGGGGGGGCTAGCGAGGAGGGATAAGGACCCAGGCTTTCGAACATTTGCGAGATGTAACTGTAAGTACGAAGCCCAAAATGTCAGAGGCAAGTAAGACAATGTACCCGTTATAGGTGCCATGAGCGTTTTGCTGGGGCCTTTTTCGGGCGTAAGTACCGGTCGACAATAGTAAGCAAACATGCCTCCAGACATCGCAGCGTGCAAAGCCTTCAGGCTATGCCCCAGTCCCCAAGAAGTGCATGAAATTTGTGAGTTCACACTGGCCCGAAGCACAATGCCGGACATATTTTTAACGTTTACGACATTTCCCAGTTTTGGGGGGTTTAGGTCTGCCTAAACCCTATGAGACGGGCCAGTCTGCCACAGGCATATCTTAAGACGGTAGCCTACCATGTGGGTGGTTATCAAAATTATGCTCCCTTTTTGGGTTTAGGGCTTTAGGGTTTAGGTTCAGGGTTTTAGCGGTTTAGGGTTGCAGGGATTAGGGTTTGGGTTTAGGGTTTTAAGATTTGGGTTGGGGGTTGTAGGGTTTAGGGGTTCAGGGTTGAGGGTTTAAGGTTCAGGGGTTGAGGGTTTAGGGTTCAGGGATTGAGGGTTTAGGGTTATGTCCCCGGCTCCTGGAATTTAGGGTATTTGGGATGCAGGGTTTGGGGTTTCCAAAGCGGTGTGTTTCCGGGATACTGACAGCAGGCCCTCGTTGCACGGGCATTTGCTTGACTCCATGATTCAGCTACCCACATGGGTAGTTGTCAAAATTAGGGCCCCCTGTTGGGTACCCTAAATATTAGGTGCCGTATTATATTAGGGACCCCTAAAACCCTAAAACCCCTAAACCCAAAAAACCCTAAAACCCTAAAGCCCTAAAACCCCAAAACCCAAAAAATACCCCAAAACCCTTGCTTCCAGCCTCGGAAGCTGCCGACTTCGTCGCGGCTTTCGTGGCCTCGTAGAGCTCCGTCATCTTCTGGTCCATCTCCTGAGAATCTCTCTGAGTTTAGGGTCTTTAGGGTTTAGGGTTTTAGGGGTTTTAGGGTTTAGGTTTTAGGGGTTTAGGGTTTAAGGTGGTTTATGTGGGATACTCAAAGAGAATCTCTTAACCTAAGGCTTAAAGGCTTCAAGAGAAGGGGGTATGTGTGGGATATCCCTATCGTACTTGTTATCCATCTCCTCAAAGAGAATCTCTTAGGGACCCTTAACCCTAAGGCTCTAAGGAAATCAAAAGGGATCTAGAAGGGTTCTATAGGGGGTCCTTCAGGGTTCCTTAAAGGGACCTATAACCCACCTCCTCAAAGAGAATCTCTGAGTTTAGGTTTACGTAGGGGTTTTAGGGTTTTGGGTTTAGGGGTTTTAGGGTTTAGGGGTTTCAGGGTTTAGGGGTTTAGCGTTCCGAGATTTCATAGGAAGCCAAAAGGCGTTTTAGGGCTTTTAGGGTTTAGGGGTTTTAGGGTTTAGGGATTTAGCGTTCCGAGGTTTCATAGGTGGCAAGAAGGGGTTTTAGGTTTTTATGGTATAGGGGGTTTAGGGTTTAGGGGTTTAGGGTTTAGAGGTTTTAGGGTTTAGGGGTTTTAGGGTTTAGGGGTTGAGCGTTCCTAGGTTTCATAGGAGGCAAAGCGGGGTTTTAGGTTGTTAGGGTTTAGGGTTTTAGGGCTTAAGGTTTAGTGGTTTAGGGTCTAGGGGTTTTAGGGTTTAGGGTTCAGGGGTTTTGGGGTTTAGGGGTTTAGCGTTCCGAGGTTTCATAGGAGGCCAAAAGGATCAAAAGGTCTCCACACAATAGAAACCCAGGTCCTCACTGAAGAAATGAACCCTCCATTTGGATAAGGGTTAGTAGGGTTGGGGTATACACATGATATATATATATATATATATATATGATATATATATATATATATGGCTATAATGCCAGGGCTCAGATCGCCAGCAGCGGCTGGATCCACTGTAGCCCCAGTGTCAAAGGACACGCCAAGATTGCCCCTAGACTGAAGCCATCACCGGGGTGGCATCGTCGAGAGCGACTCAAGCGCTCGCGGGCCAGACGCAGAGTGAGAGCAGCTAAAAGTGCTGCGAAAAGGCCGCGCGAAGCGGACCTCCTCTTACTCCTCGAGCACCACTCTGGCGGTAGAGGCTTTGTTATGGGCAAGACATGGAAACACAGAGGAGGACAAGATCGCAACCAGGATGGTTGGGATGGTGGGGGCTATGGACATGTGCCATATTTGCCCAAGGAGAAGCTCTGGAGGGGAGCTTATTCTCCCAGAGCACCGTGGAAGCGAGGCGAGGATGCCAGACCGCCTGCCTTCCCCAGCTACACCCAACTTGCGCCCAAGGAGAGTACGACCCATACAGCTGCGGTAGCTCCTACATTCGTGCCGGATGCTACACTCTCGGAACTTCAGAAGACCCTCACCGCTGCCCGCAAAGCGGAGAACCGAGTTCGAAGCCTGCTTTCGCAGAAGGAGAAGAACGAGCAGCAATGGGAGGCGTACAAAGACACAATGGAAAAGACCTTCATACAGGAACACAAGAGATTTGTGGCAGGAGCTGCCAAGATACAGCGAGACCTGGATGCAGCCGTGGCGCACCAGGACGAGGCCAGACAGGATGTGCGAGCTGCCTACAATGGGGAACCAGTCAAGCCCTCCCGAGCCGCGGAGCAGGAAAAAGCAGCTCTCTCGGCATGGGATGCCATGCGAGATATGTGGGAAAGATCCCAGGATGTCGATATGGAAGGAGTGCTTCACAGGGCAGTCAGTGGTCAGCCCTCTACAACAACTGCACCGGAAGCTGCTCCCTTGAGGAAATTGAAGCCAGAGTTTCTGCAACAGTTGCTTGCCGATCCTGGAGTCCAGGCTGCCTTTTGGGCAGCAGCCCCACAAGGCGGCCCAGGACATGCAGATGGATCGCACATGGGGGCACCGACCTTCGATGTACCCACTTTTGGTGGCTCGGCAACAGCGGGACATGGGCCCATGACATCGCAGCCTCCGGGGATCACCACCGTGGAGGACCCGGACGATCCCCGCCATGGACAACCGGATCCTGCCCCAAGTACAGGAAAGGCCGAGGCGATGGCAGGTGTCCACCCTGGGCAGCGCGACCTTGGAGCCTCGCGAGTCCCTTCTCACGAAGGGCCTCCTCGGCCAGATGTCAAGACGGCCACCAGGACCACCCCACAGCGGCCAACAGTTCACAAAGGCTTGGGAGAAAAGTTAGAAGAGAAAAGGCAGCAAGCCAGACAAGGAGTGGCGATGCATCCATTTGGTCTCCCGGGTCACGCGAGCGGAGGACCCATTCATGTCGAACCTCACATGGAGACCAACGTGGACGACAACGACGAAGAGCTGGACCGTGTGGACGGCCACAGATCACCAGGTCTGGGCAAGCTAGAGTAACACGACTGAGGACTAGGGCCACATGGCTTGTATATTTTCGAGTGACGCTCTTGAGGGTGCCAGCAGACCTGACCTTTGGATGTTGGTGTGGCTTCGGGTTGGGAGGGCAAGATCCGGTTGAGACTTCAATGGGGAAGTCTCGCTGTGCTTGCGACCCCCTCGACCAACGATACCACACGGACAGACAATGCGACAGTTTTGCTGAGTACCCTCTTTTTCACCTCGCTGTGTACAGACGTCAGGTAGGCTGCTGTGTGTTCCTTGACTTGGATTCCTCTTGGCCGACCTGTATGCCCTCATTCCTCGCTGACGTCATCCTCGGCTGCCTTGGATGCTCCTTGGGCTCTGGAGTGTCTTTGGGTATGCCCTCGCCTGGCCGTGAGGTATGTATGCCTCTATGCAGCCCAGCCAATAATCCGGGCATCTCTGCCGCCCCCTCTTGGACTTTTCGAGCGCTAAAGAAACACATCGGTAGCTCAGGGGTGTTCGCCGATTTTGAAGTCCAACGGCCGGGCAGTTTTGATTCAGTCCCTTCAGGAGCCATCCTGCCACCTACCTGGCTGGAGGATCCCTTGCTGGTGATTCTACTCCACATCACCTCCTTCCTAATCCCCCTGGCCAGGGCAGTACTCTTCATTCTGTTCCTCGCCGTTTTTCGACTTCTCTGCGGGGCACTGCCCAGCCGTCGAGAGCCATTGGGAAGACTTCTCATGCTCCCCAGTGTTGGAGTTGACCCTAGCATAACACGTTGCCTTGACATAGGGGTCCGAAGGCACGTTCCAGGGTGTTCCTGGGCATTTCACAGTGTTGACAAACGCCGGCCCAAACAAGCCCATCCCTCTAGAGGACGGCAAAGTCGGCGTGGGTCTGTATGGCGATTTTTCCTTGGATGTCTCCCTGCGTGCAGCATCCCGACAAGACTTGGGACCGAGCAATGCGGTCTGTTCTTTTGTGCCGGCCTTGCAAGTTTGCCTGTTGCTGCCACCATGCCTCAGGACTTGCCTGTCACTGGAGGTTTTGATCCCCTTCCGGACGACCTACCTTTGTCCAACACTATACAGTCTGTTTCCGGCATAGGTAATCATGACGAAGGGCAGGTCGTGACACCTTGTGGAAGCACACAAGATGCTGCCGGAATACCAGATGAACAGAGTCGCGAGCCGAGCTCCCCTCGGCCCTCGCCACTCACCACAAAGTACTTTACAGTGCTCTGCCCGCAGCACCATACTGAGCTTGTGCCAATTGTTGTGCGCATTCCAGGCACCGCCACTGAGGAAATCCTTAGCGAAGTCCTCGGAGGCCTGTCCGAATTGAGGCTTGAATTCGCAAGGACTCTTGTCCCTACATCCCCCCAACTCGACCCAGGCTCAGCCTCGCTTGTACTTGGAGGATCTTGGCATCATGCTTTTGGGGACGCCATTCTTGTACTTGACTTCAGACCCATTGGGGGTCCGTGCTATGCCCAGCACTTTTTTACCGAGGCACGATACAGTGACTTACAGAGTGAAGCCACCCATCATGACGTTGGCTCCTACCATATCTTTCTGTTTGGGAGTTCTGAACCCCTCCTGCCTGGGTCGTCCTTTCTCTGCGTCCATGGAGGTGTTGTTCAGTTTAGACCTGAACATGAAGCCCCGGTCTGGTATGGTGATTTTGCACAAAGACTCGGCAGTGCTGCAGAATGGACTCATCCCACTTTCGACTCTGAGCAGAAGGACCGGCCTCTGCTGTCGATCGGAGATGTCGCTCACAGTACACCTCGCTGGACGGTGCCTTGTGCAGAAAAACTCCTACCTGCTGCCTCTGATTTTTATCAAAGGTCACCCTCCCAGATCACAATAGCGGAGCCTGCCACTACCCATTTCGCCCACGTCAGCCACCATGGCCGCAATTGTTCTGGAATTGCTGCGGTGCAATGCGCACCCCCTCCGACTGGGCTTACACCGCCCGGACACTTTCTGTTCTTAGACGGCCGGCAAGTCGGTCATCCGCCGACTTATTTGTGGACTCTTGACCCAGTCGTCAATCTGAGTCACATTGCCAGGCTTGCAGGTATTCACAGGTTGCCCCGGAACTACCACCTTGCAGTTGCACATGCTACGCCTGACGTCCAGCAAAATTGCATTCGAATCCGACATGGAGATACTGTCGTTTTCGGTTTTCGAACTGAGGAAGAGTCCGAGGATAGCGCAAGGCTTGGTGCCTCCTCCTCTGAGGCTGCAGATGCTGATTCCGAAACCTCCACTAAATCACCTGGAGTCCATCTCCCTGGAGATCAAGGGTCAGTAGCGAGCCCAACCTCCGATAGCAGGGACAGTAACCGTAGCCGTACTCCCCGAGGGCATTGCCACTGGGATTCTAGTGCAGCTCCTGGTTCCCCCTGTGAAGAGTACCCTACTGCTGCTGTTCCCACCCAACCGCTGCCCGATGCATGTAGTCATGCAAGCCCTCCCTCGAGCGTGCAGCATGCCCTCCTGCACCGCAGGCAGTTAGAAGAGTTCACAGGCCCATCAGCCCCTAGCCAGGCACAAATACCTGGGGAATGCAGACACGAAGCCAAGCGGGCGCCACAGCCCATAAACCA